TAATTAACATCAATCGCCTGATGCTGTACGTGAAACACCGTGTAGCGATGAAATAAAATTTTAAGATTGAAATTTGTTGTTTTTGTCTTTATATATATATATATATATATATATATATATATATATATATATATATATATATATATATATATATATATATATATATATATACCGGGTGTCCCAAAAAAAAGTACTCCTGTTTGATTCGTAATCACTTCTAAACAAGTGAAGCTTTTAAAGAGAAATAACTTGCATCAAATAGAGAAAGGACTAACTTAGATTTTGATATATTACAGTTGAATTTCACGTAAGAATTAACTGAGATATTAATGTTTAAAATCGGGAGCATATTTCTGGATGTGTCTGAAATATGCAAAAAACGGCGTATCAAATATTAATCAAGATTTGCCCGACTAAAACATGCATTATTACCAGTAAATAAATGACACTTGACAAATTGTTTATTATGAAACAAAGTATTATTATCTACAAAATACAAGCAAGATTTATTCGTCCGAAATCCGCGTGTGCATGTTGCTAGCAAGAATACGTTTCCTTATTTCATGAGGCCACTCACTGTATCGCGAAGGATCGTCATGGTCGTTCGTAGTTCTGAATTAGGGCATGCTGTCAGAATGGAATTGTGAAGCTCTTCTAACTTTTGCAACCTTTTGAAATCTTGTTAAGAACACCCAAACTCTTTTGCTTTTTCTTAATCTTGGCAAGTTCAGAATAAACTGAGAATAAAACACAATCAAACCATACAACTCCATAAGACATAACGAGCAACTCCCCAGAGACATCCAACATTTTTGGAACAAAACGTAACAAAATAGTGGCGTTAATTCTGTGATGTGTATTTGCAAAAAGCAATATTATTTCCTAATTCATTAAAGAATAATATTTATCCTGCTCTAACCGAGAAATAATCAACTTTGTTTTGAACCCATGAAAAACATAAAAAAATTAGGCTATATTTAAGAAAAATTTAACTTGCATCGTCCGCTTTCATGCATGTAGGCCTACCTTTAAGTTTGTAAAGACCTATTAAATACCCGCATAATTTCGAACGTTCATATTTCAGGAAACAATGAGCTAAGACTTACATGTAAGATGTCTAAATCTACGCCATATCCCTTATAAACCTTAACGACAATTCGCTGAAATACAAGTTTATAATAGCCTGATATGTCATTAAGCAAACAAACGCTGGAATTAATATTTGATATGCCGTTTTTCGTTAATTTTAGACACATTCCAAAATATGCTACCGATTTTGAACATTAATATCTCCGTGAATTTTTAAGTAAAATACAACTGTAATATATCAAAATCTAAGTTAGTCCTTCCTCTATTTAATGCTAGTTATTTCTGTTTGATAGCTTTATTTGTTTAGAAGTTATTAAGAATCAAACCGGAGTACTTTTTTTTGGGACACCCGGTATATATAACAAAGTTTTGTTATTGTAGTAGATTGAAGAGTGCTCAACACAAAAATTTGTAGAGCAATATTTATTTAATCTTAAAAATTGTACATGTTGCTACTCAGAGTTTCATGCAATTTCGCAATCTTCAGGCAACTGTTATTACAAGTTCAGTTCTGTTTGGTGACGCTACTCACTAACGGTTTGCTGACGCGCGTGCGTTCGTTTGTTGCGCACGCTCTCAAATTTTCCCGCGTGGAATTTCTCTGCGTGGCGGCACTTCGCAAATATTTCTGATCTTCGATTAAGAGCTTTATTTGCCTTTAAAAGGCACAGTTTTTCTTCGGTGCACAAACTGCAGTGCTTTCCACCTGCCGAATACGACGGAGCTCGTTTCAAGATTGATCACTTGATTCCGTAATCTTTCCCAGCGTTCTTTAATTTCCATACGTATTTCGAAAGTTCTGTGTCAAATTCGTATCTTTTGTGCTCGAACGATTTTATGTGGTTTCGATATCTAACTTTGAAATCGTTTGCCGTCATTCCGATGTATTCCTTCGTTTCGCGCTCTTCCTTTGTTTTTATCTCTGCCTTGTAGACTACAAGAACTTGTATGTTTTTTGTTTACTGAGTATGTGAGCATATATGCTTTTCGCGCGAATTAAATCGCCGGCTATATCGTCAGTTTACTACTGATCTTGTAATAACAGTTGCCTGAAGATTGCGAAATTGCATGAAACTCTGAGTAGCAACATGTACAATTTTTAAGATTAAATAAATATATATATATATATATATATATATATATATATATATATATATATATATATATATATATATATATATATATATATATATAATATATATATATATATATATATATATATATATATATATATATATATATATATATATATATATATATATATATATATGCTTGAAGGGTCTTGTAGATGGAAATTATCGAGTGTAAATTTATATACATTTAATAATAATAAATATCAAGATTTTCTTGGCATCTCACTCGATTGATTACTACCCTTCGAGTTGCCAGACCGCCGCTTTACCCATTGAGCTATCGAGTCAGCGTGCACGAAATATTTGAAAATAATAAAGGCTTATTGACCCAGCGTGAGGTCTGTACTGTGAAATATCAGACCGAAGTTTTTTAGTATGGACCGAGCGACAAGGAGCGAGGTCCATGAAAAAAACAGAGGTCTGATATTTCACAGTACAGACCGAACAAGCGAGATCAAAAATCGGTTTATTATATGGCTGAACTGAGTCTGAGAGCATATGCTTTTCGCGCGAATTAAATCGGCTATCGTCAGTTTCACTGGGTAACAATATACGGTAGGCATGCATGCTCAATCAAAAACAATTTGGTTGTTTGAAATTTTTATCTGTAAATTTTAATGACACACAATTGGAAAATTAAAAAGCAAAAATTTTTTCTGTTTGCAAAGCCAAAATTTCCCGCCAGATAAACGACATCCGGGACACCGGTCCAGATACGGAGAATACGGACCACGGTCCGAATATGGGTTTTTATGGACCGCTTGTCAACCAATCAGAATAAAGAATTTTGAAAAGCCATATAATAATAC